CACTCAAATTCAAAATCCAAATTCTTGCAACAACCAAAGTACTTCTCAACACCTCACATAGTTCGAAGTTCAGAGAATATATGTAACATCACTTCAATCTCTCACTCTCTCTTTGAATGAGAAAACATATTCCTTGCAACAGGCAATGAATGTTTCCATGGTTGAAATTTTATTGATTTATCAATCTATAAAAGCAATAGTAGGTACAAACAAATTTTGTATCTGATCTTTATTTTTTTATTTTTATCATTAGATATAAAATTAGCGGTAATGATAAAAAAATTTATTTATGTATAACAATTTTCAATCAATAAAGAAATAAGTAAGGATTTAACAATCAAGAAACAAAGAAAATAAAGGTGATTGAGGTGAATCAAGGCTCTTAAACCAAAATCAAAAGATTAAAATTAACATTCGAGTCTAATAATTGAAGACAAGAAAGTTCTATCATTGGGACTAGCTCAATTCTATCATTGACCAAAATCCCAACACCTTAATAGGTAATCAGGAGTTTGAATTGAATAACGCTTTCCAAAAGACCTTTATTATGGGATCAAGATTTGCACAAGGATAAAATTGTGAATTTTGCACAACTACTGTTGCGATTTGTCAAAAAGCAGCAGTCTATACTGCACAGGTCTCACACAACCTAAGAAGAATATTATTCAAATTATTTGTACAAACATACAATATTAATTAAATATTTATAATATTGTAGAGAGAGTCTGTGTTCACAGACCCACGCCCAAATCTTAGGTTGGATTTGGTCTGGGAATAGAGCATATCTACCCCCGAAATTGGTGCTATCTCATCTCATGCTTTCACTGAAACCCTAATACTTTGGAAGAAGAGAAAACACTACACCCCATCAAACCCCTTCATTTTGGATTTTTCTATAATAACCCCAAAAATGTTTGAAACTTCCAAATTTAGGGATTTTCATAGTTCTTAAAATAATATAAATTAATCATGTATTTTTGTTATTTATTTACTTATTTATTAGACTAATCACAAATGAGTAGGGGTTATATTTTTTGGGGTCTGCAGCATGGTTGAATACCCAAATGTACATTTTTGGGTAATTGAATTTAGCCCTCTAAAATTTTGAATATTTTTTATTTTTTTATTTTTCACTTTGTTACAAGGATTGAGTTTATCTTCAATTTAAAATAATATAAATTAATCATGTATTTTTGTTATTTATTTATTTTTTATACCAATCACAAATGAGTGGGGGTTATGTTTTTTGGGGTCTGTAGCATGGTTGAATACCCAAATGTACATTTTTGGGTAATTGAATTTAGCCCTCTAATATTTTGAATATTTTTTATTTTTTTATTTTTCACTTTGTTACACGGATTGAGTTTATCTATATATATATATATATATATATGCAGAGAGAGAGAGAGAGAGAGAGAGAGCATACCTGAGTTGCTGTCGTCGTCGAAGCACCGCCGCTAGCCCTTCGCCGTTCGTCGTCGCCGCACCACCGCACCACCGCTAGCCCTTCGCCGTTCGTCGCCGGTCGCCCGTCGCTGGTTTGGGGATTTTGGGGGAAAATTGAGCGGCAAGATGAGAGGGATTTCTATCGGACACCGCTAGGGATTTTAGGGATTTTGTGCTTCAAATCAATTTTAGGGATTTTGCGATGGAACCGAGCGGCAAGATGAGAGGGAAGAGGGGGGAAAATGTTTTTTTACTTTTTGCGACGGTAAGGTTTACACCGTCGCAAATTATACAAAACAATTAACAAACGACGCCGTTTTAATAATCCTTTTTTGCGACGGATATTTGCCGTCGCAAATGGTCGAGTATTTGCGACAGCAAACTTTTTGCCGTCTCAAATAGTTTTTTTTCCCGACGGTTCAACATTGCCGTCGCTAATAGTTCCTGATTTTCATACTCGCCCGTGCAGTTTATTACCGACGGTTAAACGCCGTCGCTAAAACTACTTTTTTGCGACGGTTTGTTTTGCCGTCGCAAAATACCATTTTTTGCGACGGGGATCACGCCGTCGCTAATAATTCCGTCTTTTTTGCCCTCTTTTCTTGTAGTGTGATGAGCTCGGCCAGAGCATTGTTTGGGTGGATTTTGAAAAGGTAAATATTAAAAAAATAGTAGATAGTTTGGGTGATGAATTGATTTACAAAACTAATGTGTGGTTGAGATTAAGTGTGAATTTTATCATATAAAAATTGAATATGGATCATATATTGTTTTTTATATATAATTTTGGGTACTTTTGTATAACTATCAAAAATAATTATGATCACATGTTACTTATCATTTGATATATTATTGTTGTATTATTGTAATGAATTTTCTTATTAATGTTTATTATCAATGCAGTGGTGAGATGTTCCATGATAAATAAAAATATGTTTTGTTATTATTATTATTATTATTGATAATATATTTCTTTATTTACCATTTTACAATGTTCCAGAAATTAATTTATGTTTATTGTTTGTTTTTGTAAATGAGAAGTCAAAAATAAATTTTAACCAAATTCAAGTTATAACTAATTTGAGATTGAAAAGGAAATTTCAAAAGAAATTATAATTATATATCTATAACCTATACAAAAAGTATGTAAGAACGGTGTAACGCTGCTGTTTCTTGGTGTAACTCTGATGTTTCTTTGGTTTGTAAGAGCTCTTCCCTTGCAGATTTGGGCTGGCCACATGGGCTTCAAATTAGCCACACACAGTAGAAGAAAACAAATTCCATTATTCCTCCTACAAATTCCTAACTCCTTCATGCTGGTGAGCGTCTAACGCTCTTGCTTGCTTGCTTCCTAACACTTTACAAGAGACAAATTGTACCACTTGATTGTATTCTTGGTGCGCCATGTGCTCAAAGAAAGCCTGCAATTGCAGCCTGTCCAATTATCTGAATCTCTATTTTCTCCACTTTCTGTATCGTATGTTTTTAGGAGATGACGTGCCTCACATTGCTTCTTCCATGTGGGTGAGAAGGAGTGTTTCGGTGGGTACCGAATGGACAACCAACCCAGATTATCCAAGTCTTGCTTCTGACTGATGGGTTTGTCTGTGTAGACAAATAATTGGAAGCTTGCACTAATTACAGAAGAATACCCAAATGTCTGCATTTTGAGTTTGCATTTGCACCTCATTCAGGTCGCACAAATCTACTCTTTTTTCACAGAAGTTACCTTAATTAAGGCCTATCTATAGAAAACCAGAGAAGAGAAATAAACGAAGGTTTATTTTCAATTATGTTCACCTAAGGTTTGGCTTTCATGGTCCCCTCTTTTGTTTTCTTTGTAGTGTTTGCTTTGTGATTTATATATTGATTATAGGTTTGTAGCCATTGAATACACCTACGAGGTGTTTGTGAAAACGTTTATAAGAGAACCTGCATGCTTACTTCTCTATGAAAGTGAATCAACAAAAATTCAGAATTTACAAATGAAAGATAAAAGATTCTCAAATAAAGATAAGTAATAAAGAAACATATCCCAATACAATACCAAGATAAAAACCATCAATTCCTACTGAATTCACAAGAGCAAGATGCTTTCGATGCGAACAAACCTTACCTTTCAGTCACCAAATCAATATATATATAGATGCCCTAAGTCCTGACCCTTTGTTTAAATTTTAATTAGCAATAAGCTTTTCTTCAATAAGAATTAAATATTGATCTTGAATCCTCACTTTTAATACAACAAACAAAAAATCACCAAATTATTATTTAAAAAAAAAAAGAAAACAGAGAACAAAAATAATACCCAATAACAGTTTGAACTTAAACAAATCAAACAGTGTCAAAAGAATTGATAATTTCAAAAATACCTTCAACTAAGTTCAAAAAACACCAACACATACACATACAGACAACAAGAACTTCTTACATAGTCCACTAAGAAATGGGTTTTTGTGAATATGTGTGTACGAGAGAGAAAGAGAGAATCTATATGTGTACGTAGATGAAGTAACAACATTCTTATAGCACAAGAGGATAAATTTTTCCTACTAAATTATTTCCTTGCCAAATAGTTAGACAGATTCCTTAGCTACATTATTGGTGCTCTATGAAAGAAAATTTCCTTTTGGAACCTTTAACAACCAAATGAAAAAGAAAACAACAACAACAACAACAACAACAAGTGCCCTTGAAAAAACCCAACTAACCAAAATCTGCTACGAAAATGAAAACCTGGTGCAATGTTCAAAAGAAGAAGAGAAAGAGAAAAGAAAGAAATACATGTGCTATATTGTGGGATAAATAATTGTTTTGAGCGGGACAATTGAAGAGAAATAGACTATATATATTGTAGAACATCATTAAACAATGAACATCAGTAACAGTAACTACAAAATCATTCTCTATTCAATGCCTAGATAGTAAGATTGATGCATGGAGTCATAAAACAAAAATCACGAAGTACACATTTTTTTTTATTATTATTATGGAGATATTGTAATTTTTCTCCAATTAGACAACAAATGGGGATGAACCCACCAATTCGAATCAAAACTAATGGAGTTAGAACATTACCAATGAGATACTGCGTTATTACAGACTAAAAGCCTTGAAATGCCTACTTCAACCATTCATGGACAATCTCAATTGGAAATTCACGAGTTCTTTCTCTTGCAAGGTTGCAAGGCTAGAACGGAGACCCAACAAAAACCATTTCATTTTTTTTCCTCGCAGGGACTATAGTAGTATTTTAAATAGTGTCTCTATCAATCAAACAATTTAAGGTGGTGGTATTACAGTTAAGTGATGATCTCTAATATGGGGAAAAAAATTGAAATAAGAATAGGATAAAGAAAGTTGTGGGGGTTGAAGCTACCCAGTCCATTCCTTTAAAACAAATCTTAGTTGTTAATAGGGACTTTGAACTAATATAACTCCAATATCAAAAATTAGTTTTTGTTTTAATCTTTTATATTTATTCTATGTTCATTTTTTGTTATGTCTCATTTGGATTTGGGGGACTAGAAAAGAAGTTGTTGATTGGATTGGAAAGGTTGGTTCATGAGCCGTCTTTAATGGGTTTCTTTTCTTTTTTTCTTTTTTTTCTTTTTTTGTTTCTATTTTTTTTAATGGGTATTTGTTTTCCTATATGTTTTTGATGATATCAATGACTTGGGTTTTTGGATTTTTATTTTTTTTATTTATTTGTTTTATATTTTTATAGCTGGCCAAAATTGGATTTTGTTGGAACAATCTTCTATGTAAAATAAATAAGTCAAACAAATAAAAATAAATTACTTACCGAATTTATTTTACCTAACCGAATAAATAATTAAAAGATCAAGTCGAGTGTGTGACACTTTGTCCTTAAGACAGATTCGCCCCACTACGGTGCTTATGTATAAAAGGCATCTACCTTCCAGGATACAATGATCTTCACAAATTGTAGTAGCACTCTAAACAATTTATACGATGAACAAAACCTGTGTTCTAAACTCTCTGAATTTTTCTCTAAAAAAACAAAAATAATAATATGAAAAACAATGCAATTAAAGAGCAAAATTAGAAGGAACCAAGAGAATTTCAGAGTTTTTGGATGCTTTTCCAAACTGTTGGAAATGAATATGAATTTATAGGCTTCATGATAGACTCGAACAGGTCTGAAATTTGAATGAACAAATGCAAATTCAAATTAGACAGGTACAAACAGATAACTGCTGGGCAGTTTCTATCTGTTGGAAAACTGCTAGCAGATTTGAATCTGTCTGGCAGTTTTGAAGTTGTTCGGCAGTTAAAAAAAACATGTTTAACAGTTGGGAATTTAGTGGAATTCGGAGGCACAATTTTTGGACAAAAAATTTGAATTCAAATACATTTTGAAATTCAAATAATTTCCTGCAAGAATATAAAAAAATTCAAATAAATTTTGTCGAAAAAATTAATGTTAGAATCAACCTGACCCGCAACTCACACCTGCTTCCGGCACGACCGGTCAGATGGACGGCTACGCGCGTGCACGTGTGGTGGTTTAGGCTAACGTTCACTTTGTTTATAGCTCCTCTCTTTTACAAACTTGGGGTGCCTCTTAGGGCCCAACCAAAGTTAGTACACCAAGAGCTTATATATTCACAAAAGGTCACTTAAAGTTTCAATGTAAGACAAGTCTTACAAGAAAACCCACATTTAATTATTTAATTGTCCATTCCACGAACCCGAAAACGATGTCAACTTCTCATTCACTCTTAAATGGTTTTGACGAACCGTCTTCACCGTGTGACTTGCCATGCAGCAAGGAACAAGTCACCTCTTCGGACCCACCCCAAAAGACGTTTGGGACACACTCAAATTTAGGCTCAAAGTTGGCCCAAAATAAGCCTATAAAAACCAATTTTCCAACAATCCCTTATATGAATGGAATTTGACGGAGAGAAAATGTAACAACATGATCTAATTACAAAGAGTACAAAAATTGGGAATATTCTACAAAGGATGTGTAGCTTTTGGCTTTAAACTTTCCTTTGTGAGACAGTATCGGATTTACTAGCTAACCAGTGAACATGATGTCTTGAACTATTCAACCATTTGTGTAAACCAAGACAATAGAACTCACATAGTATATTACCAGACAAAGTTTAGTTCTCACTATTGTGTTCATTTTGGCCCTGAACAACCTGGTCTTTCATGAGTGCTCTAGAGAATTGTAGTCCTTCACAAATCTCATGGAACCAGCCCAATTCACCCTCACATAGGTGATTCTTATGAAGAGTATACTGTCATACTCCACTAGGTTTACCTAGATATAAAAATCATTAAAATTTTACTTAACCTAAAACACTGCAGACATCACTATTCATCATAGAAATGGATAGGATTTTGACTCTCCAATGATCTTTCTGAGTTATACATAACTCGGTTGTCCCTTTAAATCTAGATCTTGAGATCTCCAATCAACTAGGTTGGGTTGCCGTTGTGGTAACTCTTATTTAATAGGCTTAAGTCCCATTCCTCTTGATGAATTCTCAACTAGCTCTTTTGCTAACCCTTTGGTTAGTGGATCTGCTATGTTGTCTTTAGACTTCACATATTCAATGGAAATAATTCCATTAGAGAGTAGTTGTCTTACGGTGTTATGTTGACGACGAATGTGTTGCGACTTACCATTATACATATGACTCTATGCTCTACCTATTGCTGATTGACTATCGCAATGTATGCATATAGCAGGCTCCGATTTTGGCCACATTGGAATATCTCCAAGGAAGTAGCGAAGCCATTCTGCTTCTTCCCTAGCTTTATCTAAAGCTATGAATTCTGATTCCATAGTAGACCTAGTAATACAAGTCTGTTTGGAAGATTTCCAAGATACAGCCGCACCACCAAGAGTAAAGACATACTCACTGGTGGATATTGAGTCTCTAGTATCCGATATCCAGTTTACATCATAGTATCCTTCTAGTATTTCTAGATATCTAGTATAATTAAGCCCAATGTTACGAGTAAATCTGAGGTATCTTAGAACCCTTATAATTGTTTTCCAGTGTTCTACTCTTGGGTTACTCGTATATCTACTTAATTTACTTACTGCATAAGCTATATCCGAGCGAGTGAAGTTCATCAAGTACATTAAGCTCCCAATAATTTGGGCATACTCTAATTAAGAAATATTTTTCTATACATTCTTAGAAAGAAACAAATTAACGTCCATAGGTGTTCTAGCAAGATGATCATCATCTTTGCTGAATTTGTCAAGTATTTTCTCAATATAATGAGATTGTGACAAAGCATAACCTTCTGATGTTTTGGTAATTTTCATACAAAGAATTACATCAGCAATCCCCATGTCTTTCATGTCAAAATGTTTATTCAACATTTTCTTAGTATTTTTAATTATGTCATTATTACTACTTATGATGAGCAAATTATCCACATAAAGACATACTATAACATAGCCTTTGTTTGTGTTTTTACTATAAACACATTTGTCACCTTCATTAATTTTGAATCCATTTGACATCATTGCCTTGTCAAATTTCTCATGCCATTGCTTTGATGCTTGTTTCAAACCATATAATGATTTAACCAATTTACACACTTTCTTTTCTTTTCCTGGAACAGAAAATCCTTCTGGTTGTTCCATGTAAATTTCTTCATCAAACTCACCATTTAAGAAAGCGATTTTCACATCCATTTGACGAATTTCTAGATTGTACAATGATGCAATAGCAATTAGCATTCTAATAGATGTTATTCTAGTAACCGGTAAGTATGTGTCAAAGTAATCAAGACCTTATATTTGTCAATTGATCCATCCGCTTTCATTTTCCTTTTGAAAATCCACCTGTTCCCAAGAGGTTTACAACCTGGTGGTAAATCGACCAATTTCCAAGTGTGATTTTACAGGATGGATTTAACTTTGCTGTTTACAGCTTCTTTCTATAAAGAAGCCTCAGGACTAGACATAGCTTCTTTAAAAGTTAAAGGCTTATTTTCTAACAAAAAAGTTAGAAAATCTGGATCAAAAGATTTTGAGATTCTAGCACGTTTACTACGCCTAGGTTCATCTTTCTTATTTTGATCTAATTATTCTTGATCATGACTAGTAATGGCATCATAAGATCTTTTATTAGAACTAGTCTATTGTCCAGTCTTATTTGGAAATATATTTTCAAAGAATGATGCATTCCGAGATTCAATAATAGTATTTACATGCATTTCGGAATATTCAGACTTATAAATCAAAAATCGATATGTACTACTATTCTTGGCATAACCGATAAAAATGCAATCAACAGTTTTAGGACCTATTTTAGTCTTTTTAGGACT